AATGGAGCAAACACCTTAGGCAATTTGTAACCCCTCAAGTCTGCATTTGCTCAACTGCAAAGGATCAGAGCCTGTGGATTCCAGGGTGTGTAATGTAAAGATCCCACCCTCTTTGGGGAAAGAGGGCCTGGGAACAAATGTTCTGATGTGACAGGTTCAAGGCAGACTCTGGGCCACCAGTGCTGCTTTTTTTTTTTCCCCTCATTTTTTAAATTGCCAGAAAATTGTACATATTTCTCACATACAGCACGATGTTGTAAGGTAGAGAGAGTTTTGGAATGGGTCAACCTAGCTCAAAGACATGTGTATTACCTCATCAGGTGTCATTTTGGTAAGAGCACTGCTGTCAATCACTTTTTAAGAATTCATGTGTGTGCCAGGCGCCAGTGGCTCATGCCTGTGATTCTAACTACTCAAGAGGCAGAGATCAGGAGGATCACAGTTCAAAGCCAGCCCAGGCAAATAGTTCTCAAGACCCTATCTCAAGAAAAAAAAAAAAAATCACAAAAAAGGGCTGGTGGAGTGTGGCTCAAGATATAGGCCCTGAGTTCAAACCACAGTACCCAAAAAAAAAAAAAAAAGAATTAATGTGTAGGACCTCTTCTTTCTTGGTCATCAATCAGCTTCAGTCACAGATGGTGGAGACTCCTCTGTGACCATGGATTGTGGAACTCCACAGCTTCCCTGTAAAGGCTGAACTTCCCGCCTCTCTTAGGTTTCCTCATGGGTAGCATGTTTTCCCAGAGTGATATGTGCAGCTGAGGCTGCTTGGGAAAAGACAGTAGCTATCTTGGATGCATCTGGCTGGTGAGTAGCTTGCACATAGGGAAACCATTCAGACTGACTGCTTTTCAAGCTGTCTTCACGACTTGGGATTTTGGTATCTCATCTATGACATTTCATCTTAAACCGGTATTATGACTAGTGCAGAATCAAAATCCTTGAGAAATATGTCGATGGCCACAGGGGTGGTCAGTTGAGCCTCCCTCCAACAAGATAGATCTGTATTAAGAATGACTGGGTGATCCCACCATCTTAAGGGAGGTAAGCAATGTGCGTGTCATTTACTCCTGCTGCAACCTGGAAAGCATGAAGCTGTTTTGCAGCGTAAATGTGTGCATCACCTTTGGCATCTTCAGTAAGGAGGATGTGCACAGCTGCGTGATGAGGTCCAAGTCGGTGCTAGGCGTTATCAGGAATAGTAGCCAACTTGTAATGTCCATACTGGGCCAGTGGGTAGCCACAGACCTGCTGCCATCTGGGCAGGTAAGGGCCTCAGGCACTTCAAAACACTGTCTAAGTAAGGCATCTGCACGTGACAGCTGTGCATGGCTGGTGATGAATGGCCATGCATGCATCGTCACTGTAGAGACTCCAATGGCTGGGGTGCACCCATGGCGACGCTGAACACAGAAGTCTTCACTGAGCTGTGGAAGACTCTCAGCCAACTCCACTGCTCTGGGCAAGGGTTCAACTGCTGAAACGTCCAGGGACAGGTCCTGCTAACTTAACGGTCTGATAAAAGGGTGTCCCAATGGATCTCTTGAACTTATTCTTCCTGGACAAGAGGAAGCACTGTATTAAGCTGAACACTTTCAGTACTTCCCTCCTGCTCAGACCATCAATAGCTCCCCATTTCTCTTGTTCAATTTGGCACTGTTCAGCAGAGACCTGCCCAGATGCTATGAGCTCAACTCTTCAGTGATATGGCAACTTGTCACCCCAAAGTCCAGGACCTTTCTTTCCTGATTGACCTTTCCTCTCACACTCCATTCTGCCTTCCTCACAGCAACATTGGAAGGATAATTATAATGCTGCTGATGGTGGTCAGTCAATGGCCAACTGTACAGATGCCAGGCACCATGTACTTCAATGTTTACCTTTTAGAGCCTCACTGCAGCCCTACAGGATGCTACTATATTCCCATTTTGCAGAAGAGTAAACTGAGGACTAGAGAGAGGCACCACATCAAGGACACAAATGGCTGAGCTGGGAATCACACCTGGGCTTCAAATACCCCATTGTGCTGTTGATGGAGGTCAGGAACCACTACCCCAAAATAGGACCCCTTGATCTACATAATATTTTAAGCTGAAGGAATCTGAGAAGCAGCAGGTGCAGGAAGGACTTTCTGATCTTTCCCAGAAGCAGGGGACTAGATTCTCCCAAAGGGCACCCGACCCATACCTGGAACAAGAACAGCTTTAGCCTTAAGGACAGAAGGATCAGAGGGGAGTCTGAATGCACAGCCTTGCCAAGTGTCTCCCAGCTGCTTACACTGAGCTCACAGCCCCTGTGTTCTGTCACATTCTTCCTCAAACCTAGTTTGTTTTGTTTTTGTTTTGGTGTGATTGGGGTTTGAACTCAGGGTTTCACAAAGTTGCAAACTTGCAAAGCAGCCACTCTACCGCTTGAGCCACACCTCAGTCCATTTTTGCTTTGGCTGTTTTGGAGATGGGGTCTTGTGAACTATTTGCTTATGCTGGCCTCAAACCTTGATTCTCCTGATCTCAGCCTCCCAAGTAGCTAGGAGGACAGGCATGAGCCACAGGTGCCCAGATCAAACCTAGCTTAAAACACACAGACTCAGCTATTCTTCATGTATTCATTTCCTTCTGAGTGCTCCCATGCCACGTAAAACTGACATGAAATAAATTCATATGCTTTTTTCTTGCTTATCTGTCTTGGCTTCTGCCAAGACTTCCAAAGACCAGAAGGAAACGATACCTGTTCCCTCCAGTACCTATGTCCTCCCCCTTCTACCCTCCACCTCCTGCATGGGGCCATTTACCACTCCTAACTCCCATATCCTCCGGGCATCCCCTGGACCTCAGCACCAGAGCCCAGGTAGGGCTCAGGAGAGGAGAGGAGATGCAGGGGGGCCCCTCCCCTGGCCCCTGCTCGGACATTACACTCACTCAGTGCAGTGCTGGGCATGCAAGGTGTTCTCATGACATCCACGTGGGAAGCCCATTATTATTACTATTATTTCATTTTACAGATGGGGAAACAGGCACAGAGAGGATAAGTAACTAGGCCAATGTGATTCAGCTAGTAGGTGGCAGAGCCTGGATTCAAACCTGGGCCCCAGACCTCAGAGCTACCACCATCCCCTGTGGCATTAACTCAATGGCACTGAGGTTCTAGCTTCAACTTTTCCAAAGAACCTCCTGGGTGCTTGAGATGACATGTAAACTTGTTATCACACTCATGTGGCCTCTAGTGTGATCTCCCACCCCGTCCTCCAGGTCCTTTTGCGCTCTTCTTTAAGACCTGGCTCAAGGTGTCTGGGGGTTTGCACAGCTGTTCCCTTGGCTGGACCACTCTTCTCTCAGGCCCTTGTTCAACCAGTCACCTCTCGACCCTGAGGTCTCAGCTCATGTGCCTGTTGCTTGACAGGCCTTCCCCGTCTGCCCCTGTAACTGCGCCCTCCTCCCAGCTAATCTCTGCCCATTACAGTGTTCCGTGTTCTTTGCAGCACTTACCAGTAGCTGAAAGCACTGCATCGATACATTAATTATTTACTGGTCACTCAATGCACAGTAAAAATTCCATCTGGTCAAGGACCCTATAGGCCTCCACTCGCCACCCCAGATCCCATATGTGCTGTGTCCTGCCCATAGCAGATTCTCTGCAAGCATTTGTCACGTGAATAGTTCCCATCTTATGGGTGAGTTTACCTGATGTGCAAATTGCAAAGCCTCAGGGGTTCAGAGCCCACTGAGAACAGCTGGCCTCAGAGAGGCTGCGGCACTATTCACAATAGCCAAGTTATGGAAACAGCCAAGATGCCCCACCACTGACGAATGGATTAAGAAAATGTGGTATTTATACACAATGGAATTTTATACAGCCATGAAGAAGAACAAAATGTTATCATTAGCTGGTAAATGGATGGAATTGGAGAACATCATTCTGAGTGAGGTTAGCCTGGCCCAAAAGACCAAAAGTCATATGTTCTCCCTCATAAGCGGACATTAGATCAAGGGCAAACACAACAAAGGGATTGGACTTTGATGACATGATAAAGTGAGGATAGGTAAGACACCCAAAAAACTAGATAGCATTTGTTGTCCTCAATGCAGAGAAACTAAAGCAGATACTTTAAAGCAACTGAGGCCAACAGGAAAAGGGGACCAGGAACTAGAGAAAAGGTGAGATCAAAAAGAATTAACCTAGAAGGTAACACCCACGCACAGGAAATCAATGTGAGTCAATGCCCTGTATAGCTATCCTTATCTCAACCAGCAAAACCCCTTGTTCCTTCCTATTATTGCTTATACTCTCTCTACAACAAAATTAGAGATAAGGGCAAAATAGTTTCTGCTGGGTAGCAAGGGGTAAGTGGGGGTAAGGGAGGGTGTGGGGGAAGGGGGGAGAAATGACCCAAACATTGTATGCACATATGAATAAAATAAATAAATAAATAAATAAATAAATAAATAAATGTCAAAAAAAAAAAAGAGAGGCTGCTGCATGCTGAGCTCTATCTGCTGTGGTTCAATCTTTCTCATCTCCACTTTGCAGAAGACAAAAGTGAGGCCCAGAGAGGCAGGCCAAGGTCACATAGCTGCTAAGTGGCAGAGCTCAGATGTGAGTTTGGATACTGGTTTCAGAATTCGCGTACTTCAGAGCCACTCAGTCCATCTGTGTTATTCTAAAGACGTCACCCTGTAGCTGTAAACAGCACACTATCTGTCGGGGCCTGTATAGCCATGGCACGGTGACAGGATAGGTCAGATTGGCTGCTTGTGGGGAAGAGAAGACACAAACACATGGAGCCGCCAACTACACACAAAACTGCCACCAGGGGGACGTGCCGAGTATGATGAGCACCCTGCAAGCTTATTCCTAGGGGTTCGGGAGCAGGGCAGGAGTTCCACAGGGACGGGGAGGCGTGGGGGGCGCCCAGGACAGGCGGAGTGTGCCTGGTGGCTGATGGGCCATTTGTGGCTGGTCACCCGAGAGCGCTGCAGCGGAACAGAAGCGTGGGGCCTTACTTTTCTTGTGGCTGTAGAACTTGTCCTCGGGCCCATCCTTGGATTTCTTCACGACCAGTTTCCCAGACTCAACGTCCACTTTGAGCTGAATTTTCTGAGGAATCCCCAGAGACTCAGACTTCACCTGTGAGGAGGAAGAGACGCAGTTCATTGAGTTTCCGGCTGGCCTTTGCCATGCCAGCTCCTGAGCCCCTTGTCTGACTGGCTGGGCAGCGTGGGTCAGCATCCTGCGTGGGTCCGTCAGGCTGCTATCTTCCAGCCCTCCTTGCCCCACCTTTGCACCCCAGCTGTTCCACCAACAGGTTTGGTGGAGGAAACAGATGACCTGTTGGAAAATAGTTCATTCACTGATTACTTTGATAACACTCATTAATCTGAGGAGTCATTTACTTCCAGAAAGAATTTTGGTAATAGATTTACACCCTGGACCTTGTTACAACCACTAATTGAATATTTACTGACAATAATTAGGAAAATACAGACACTTGCCTAGGCATGCTCAGAAAATGGAAATTTTTTACAAATTATTTTCAAGGGACTTGGAGTAGGGTGTGGGGGGGTGGTGTCTCGTGCTATGTTTCTGAACACAGGATGAGGCTGGGCCTGGATGCACCAGAATTGTTGGCGGATCATTAAGAAAAACACATTTAGCTAGGCACCCGTGGCTCACACCTGTATCCTAGCTACTTGGGAGGCTAAGGTCAGGAGGATTGTGGCTCAAGACCAGCCCACACAAATAGTTTGTGAGACCCGATCTCCAAAATAACCAGAACAAAATGGACTGGAGGTGTGGCTCAAGTGGTAGAGCGCTTGCTTTGTAAGTACAAAGCACTGAATTCAAACCCCAGTACCAACAAGAACAAAGGAAAGAAAGAAAACCACACTCCTTTGGGTCAGCTTGATGGTACATACAGCACAGGAGATGAAGATGGGAAGGTCAGAGTCCTAGGCCAGGGTTGAAAAAAATTAGCAAAACCCTATCTCAAAGAACAAGCTGAAGCTAGGTGCCAGTGGGTCACGCCTGTAATTCTAGCTATTTAGGAGGCAGAGATCAGGACAATCAAGGTTCAGTGCCAGCCTGGGCAAACAGTTCAAGACCCTATCTTGAAAAAAACCTGTGTGGGATAATTTGTCTTTTCCTTCAAAGAAATAGCAACCCAGGTATATCTACTTTAAAGTCGTTATGCTTGCTTCACTTGGAGTTTCCCAGAATGTTAAATGTTAACTTTGCCCTTTACCTCATCTGTAGTTAAAAACTGTGCGTCCTTTACCGCATCCATAGTTAATGGAGAAAGACTGTGAACCCTGACTCCTACCATCAGGAGAAGGGGGCAGTGTTGCGTCAGGGATAAAAACCCCAGCTTGCTTATCAGACCCATGTTGGTGTCACACGCTTCTTTAGAAGTGAAACTGTTTTTGCCTTGCTGACTGACTCCTGGGTCTTATTTCTAATGTACTCAACAGAAAAACAGGGCTGATGGAGTGGCACAAGTGGTAGAGCACCTGTCTAGCAAGCATGAGGCCCAGAGTCCAAACCCTAGTACCACCAAAAAAAAAAAAAAAAAAAAAAATCAAAGAGCAAGCTGAGTGTGGTGGTGAAAACCTGTTATCCCAGCTAAGAGGGAGACCTAGCTAGGGGAATCGAGGTTTGAGACTGACCCCGAGCAAAACTCAAGATCCTACCTGAAAAATAACTAAAGCAAGAAGGGCTGAAGGGCTGAGGGCTTGGTGCAAGCACAGGGGCCTGAGTTCAATCCTCAGTATTGTGTGAAGAAGGAAGGAAAGAAGTGAGGGAGGGAGGGAGGAAGGAAGGAAGAAAAGGAGGGAAGGAGAAAAGAAGACTTATTTCTGGGTCCAAGCCTGCAGATTCTAATCCAGTCACTCTCAGAGAACTCAAGGAATTGTAGTTTTTTCTAACTACCCCTCCATCCTTTGCCTCTGGACACTACTTTGCAGCCAGTTTGGAGGCCCTAATGTCAGTTGTTGCTCCCATTTTGTTCTCAAATGCCTATAGCAACAAGGAGCTCTTCCCTTGCGGCCTGCCCATAAAGGGGACTTACAGATGCTCTTAAGAACCAATGCGAATATTTAACCACCTTCCCGGCTAGGTGGTTCTACCAATTGCCATCCCACACCAGCAGGCTCCTTGCCCTTCTACATCCCAAGTCAAAAACTCTCTTTCTGCAGGGACCAGAATGTGCCCCAGCAGTGGAACTCAAGGCACGGCCACTTACCTCAAAGGTGACGGGAGGAATGAGGGAACGCCGGTGGGTAGACTCAGGACCCTCGTGCAGCAAGGCCTTGACCTATGGGAAGCAGAGATGAGGCAGAATCATAAGGATGCAGAGCCCACACCTGGGCATTCTCTGTGCAGAGGACCACAGAAAAGCCAAGAGGAGCTGCAGAACCCCCATAAATACCTTGTCTTCAATGGAGGACAGCAGACTTGTCAGTTGGCTGAGCTTGGCCACCATGTTAGCGGGATTGGCCTCAGTGGGCACCTGGGAGATGAGGACAATAACAACCAAGGCTGAGTGTGAGCCATAGGGAGACCTAGCACTTAGCACTCCCCATGATGCTTTTCCTTCCATCCTCCAAACAGCCCCACAAGTACCATTATTATCTCCCTCTACAGAGGAGGACACTGGGGATAGTTACAAGCATCTCAAAATCCTCAGGGCCAAAAAATAGATCTGCATTCCTTCCTCCTTCATCTCTCTAAATCCACCTCCCCTACAGTGTTTCTCACTCCACCCACTCAGTTGTTCAAAACTCTAGGGCCATCCTGATCATTCCTCCTTCCTCCTCCTACATCTCCTCCACGGGTGTTCCTGCTCTGCTTCCAAAACACACCCATCCCACTGCTTAAAACCCTCACTGAGCCCAGAGCTGGTGGCTCATGCCTATAATCCTAGCTACTTGGGAGGTTGAGATCAGGAGGATCAAAGTTTGAGTCAAGCCTGAAAATGGACTGAAGGTGTGGTTCAAGCAGTACAGCGCCTGCTTTGCAAGGACAAAGCCCTGAGTTCAAACCTCAGGCCCACCCAAAACAACAACAACAACAAACCCCTGTTGGTTGCTTCCCACTTCAGGGAGAACATTACCCAATCCCTCACCCTGGCCTCCACATCTCCAGATGCTCTAGCGCCCCACCCTGAGCCACTCGCAGCCTCACTTCCCATCCAATGTGAACAACACTTTCTCTGGTGTCTCCAGAGACTTGAATTTCATCTGGAAAGGGCACCTCCTTGTCATTCAGGTCTCAGATCCACAAAGAGGCCTTGAACTCATGATCTTCCTGCCTCAGCCTCCCTAGTGATGGGATTACAGGTATGTGCTTCCACAATTAGCTATACCTGCACCTCTGTTTTTCCACTTCTACCCTCTCCCTCCAACTGCAGCTGCTACTTGGCCATGATCCACCTCTCCCCAGCACCCCCTGCCATTTCCTCCTGCTGATAGCTTGTTTTGCCCTTAACTTTCTACCCAGCCATAAATCTGCTGCTACCATCACCATCTCCATCACCACTGCCTCCTCTACCACCACCACCACAAGCAACACACCCTGCTAAGGTGTGAATGTGACCACCTACATTGCATGGGTGGAAAACTTATTCCCCAAAGTCATATTAAATGGCATGAGAAGTGGGACCTTTGGGAGGGATTGGATTAATTATGAATGGATTAGTCCAAGTGACTTTGTTGTAAAAGTGAGCTCTCTGGCTTGCCTGCTATCTCTCCATGCCCTCTGCATGGCCCTCACCAGCTGCTGAGCAGATGTAAGTGCTATGCTCTTGGACATCCCAACATCCACAGTCACAAGCCAGAATAAACCTCTATTCTTTATAAATCATTCAGCCTCAGGTATCTTGTGATAGCATCAGAAACATACTAAACCACATCCATAACACACCTACTACCACTTCCATCACTACCACCTCGACCCCCTGAGGACTGTCAACATGGTGGCAGTTAACACTTGTCAGTGCCTTCTCTGACTACTGTTTGGTTTTTCCTTTCTCCTTAACAAAGCTCACCATCTGTCCATAGGCAGTATTAATCAGGGAAGCCATGCAAAGGAGATCAAGATTCAGGCTGGGGCAGAGCAAAAAAGTTGTCTGGTCAGTAGATGGGGCAGTTCTGGGTTGCTTTTCTCATGAAGACTGAGGTGACACAGATATGAGTTGTGGACACCTGGGGTCACCTGCTCTCCACCCTGGACAGTTGCCATGTTGTTTTAGACTGGCACCTCCCCCACTTTGGACATGGGACTTTGGGGGAGGTCTGGCAGCATCTTATAAAGCATAAAGGAAGTTACTGGCAAAGAGGGAGTTGTTGAGGGCTGGCAGAGTGGCTCAAGTGGTAGAGCACATGCCTAGCAAACGTGAGGCCCTGAGTTCAAACCCCCGTACTATCACAAAAAAGTGGTGGTGGGGGAGTTGTTGGAACTAAGAGTCCAGAGAAATGCTGGAGCTTTCCTTACAGTTCTGTCTGATGAGGAGGATGACTGAATGAGTTCTTACTGTAACAAGCACGTTTAAAATGTATCAACCTGCTAATCCTCATGTGTACCAGCTTCTCTGACCCTTGTTTTGCTGTGGGAACTCAGACAGACGGATAAACTCCTGTAAACACCTGAGATGTGAACAGTTTCAATGCTCTCAGCAGGTGGCCATTTTGCACCCAAGGAGTCATTGGGCAAGGTCTGGAGACATTTCTGGCCGTCACAAGTGGAAGATGCTAATATCCAGAGGGGAAAGGCCAGGATATGTCCCAAGTACAAAGGACAGTCCCCACAACAAAGAACAACCCTGGGCCAAAATGTCACCAATTTGGAGGTCCAGGGTTCAACTCCCCTTGTAGCCTATTAGTGCATGGATTGATCTGGGTGTTACCGTGAATGGCATAGCTGGCCCTTTCCTTCTTAGCAGCACTTTTAAAGGGCAGTGTGGAGGTACAGCCTCCAAGAAACCCCTTTCTCACAGGCCCCGCCAGTGATCATTTAGACCAGGTTGCATTTTGTGCCTCCCCAAAGCACTGAGGGGAAAGGGCCTGGTGTTGGCCTGTCAGAGGCCAGGCACACCCTCATCCTCAGCCTGCAGTGTAGGGCAGCTCTAGCCCCAATGCCCAGATGAGGGAACAAAGGGCCAGTGGGAGTGAGTCAGATCCTCAACTCAGTATTTCTTTCCTCCAACACTTCCTTCAAGAGTGAATTCCGAAGGCACACCGAGAACCACATTCTCTGCTTCTCTTCAAGACCCAGGGTCTCCTGGGGATGGTGGGAGTAAGCTCTTCTCCAACCCAGGTCTGGGCTGGCTCTTCTGTCCTGCCTCCAAATGCAAACATGTTGTCCTCTGACTAGCAACAGCATGTCTGGAGGCCTCCCTCCAAACCCATTTCAAAGATTTGGGCGTGTGTTCTTCCATTCAAACTAATTTAATTCTGGTGTCTGCCAGGGCCCGTTTTGTCTACATTTGCTCTTACTTTCTTAGAAATTAATCCATCATTCACCTCAAAGAAAGCAAAAACAAAAATTTTCTTGATGAATTTTTTTCAGTTGTGTAAATAAAACATAAATAGTTCCTTTGAGGGGGGAAAAAAACCGTGGAAGACCAAAATAGGCCACCTTAAAATATTTCTTTGGTATAATTCAAGATGGCTATTTAGAGAAACCGCAGACCTGGAATAGCTGTGAAAAGCTGTCCTTTTGTAAAAGAAATTCAGTCATCTGTTAGTAGAGTCAGCTCTCTGCCATCCCAATCCCCTTCCCTAGGAAGGTGCCCATGGGCAAGGACCTCACAGGGAGAGACGTTTTCTTTTGAGAAGGGAGATCTCACTATATTGCCCAGCCTGGTCTTGAACTTCAGGACTCAGTGGTCCTCCAGCCTTAGCCTCCCAAAGAAATGGGACTACATGCATGCATGCCACCACCATCAGCCTCACGTGTTCTTCATAAGGCTGCTACCTGAGACTTAACCACTTCCGGCTGGGGGTGTGTTCAAGTGGTACAGCACCTACCTAGTGAGTGACAGGCTCTGAGTTCAAACTCCAGTCCCTCCAATGGGGCCCTTTTCTGAGCCTCACATTTTGGGGGCCTGTGAGCATCCCTACTACCTGACCCCACCGGGGTCCTGACTCAACAGTCACCTTTAGCAAACAACTTTCTGCCTGTCTAATAAGCAAGCAGAGATGTTCTGGGTTTGCCATTTTTGGCTACTAACCAGGGGAGGCTGACCTCGTTCCTGTTACACATTACTTATTCCTATGTGTCTTCATAAACAGCCTGGCCCCACTTGAAAAATCAGGGTGCTTTTTTTTTTTTTTTTTACTTATTTGTCAGAATTAAAAAAATAATAATAAACTTTTATCCCTAATAGTTATGGCAAGTAGTATTTTCTCTCTCTCCTTCCTTTCAGGTCTGGAGATCAAACTCAGGGTCTCACACCCACTAGGCGAGCACACTGTTGTGTTTATGTTTTGGAAGACAAAACTACAAGACAGGAAGGCACATTCCATCTTGAATCTTTACTTGTAGCCCTTACTTGCCTTTTTTTTGAGATAGGGTCTCACTATGTAGCCCTGGCTGACCTTTGACTCTCACTCCTCTTGCCTGGGATTACAGAATGCATCACCACACCCAGTTCCTTACTTGATTAACTTTGCAGAAGACAGCTTTTATTTTACAAACCTATGCTTAAGAAGTAACTTGTCCTTGGCCTCTGGCCTACTCATGAACAGGGAGGGGCACTTCACCTTGCTCTCCTGAGGTAAAAGGTGGCATCTTTAGGCTATTCATATTTTTCTTTCGTTTCTGATGAGAATTGCTGGGAACAGGCTCTGCTTGTCTCCTTATTCCGCACTAAATAAGGACTTTGGCTGATGGACACATAATTTGAAATCCTTACTCCTCAAATCAAAGAGGAAACACTGTCCAGAAAGGACAGGGTGTTCCCACCCAGACCCAAGAATACCTGTCTGCCCAGGCTACGTGGGGTGGGGGACGCGCTCCCTTCCTCCTTCCCAGGCCATGGGACACTGGTTAACTCACCCTCCTCTCTGGTTCACCAATCTCATCTTTTCAATCCCAAGATCCTTTACCTGAGGACGTGGACGGAGACCAGGGGAGAGCTGCTGGTCAAACAACCTCTGCAGAGACTCCAGGGAGGGGAGGGTCCGGACAACTTCTCTGGAGCCGGGGGGACAAGGTGAAGATCAAGAATTAGTAGGGACAGAGAAGAGGCATCCAACGCAGCTCCAGCTCTACCTGCAGACGCAGCCACACCTGGCCTGGCGAAGTCAGGTAATCCCTCCCAGCAGGACAAGCCCCGGCAAAGGCCAACCAGCCCACCACTGCCTTATCAGTCCACCCACCCTCACCCAACCACATCACACTGGAGTTTACCTCGGTTGTGGCTTAGCCACATGACACTGTGTGGCCTGGAGAAAATCCAAATCTAGAATCACAAAACTTCTTGGAAATCACTCAGGAATTGAGACCTCCCAACCACTAGTGTTTATAGGAATCACACACACACACAAATGTCCCTTGTTAAAAATGCAAGTTTCTGAGCTCCAACTGGATTAGTCAGGAATCTGCATTTTAAATCTGAGGCTTCCTGGTGTTGGGGGCCCTGGATTCTGATGCAAATCCTCCCTGGCAGCTGTGAGGCACCCCCACCCAAGGGTTTTCCATGGTCAAATCCATAGACAGCACCTAGATTTGGGATTTACCAAGTCTTCGCCCTTCCCCCATCTCTTTCTCTTATCACTGGTTTAAGCATGATGGGCAATTTTGATTTCAATTTTTCACTTATTACTTCATCAAATGCTATTTGTGTTTTTAAGTTTAACGTTTTAATGACTTCAACATATTCTATCAAGTAAATGTGCCCAAATTGCTAGATATTTGGTACTTTGACACTTATTGTGTCATTTTCCTTTTAAGTGGACTAGGTTTCATTGTGAAGTGATTTATATATTTTTCATAATCTTTGCTATTATAAATAAAGACTGCTCTTAACAACTCTGTTTAGGTAGCTTTCCTTGTTCTAGAGTATGGATTTAGGAGAACCAGAGATTACAGCTGGCTCTCCATCAATACTGCCAAACTCTTGAGTGATGGTACGAATGACCGGGCCACCAGCACTACTCAGACAGGCTGGCCCAGTGTCCTGTCTGCACTGTTCTTACTGTTTTCTTCCTTCTGTTTTAATTGAGTGACATCGCACTTTAATATTGACGAATATAGTGTGACTGAGGCTCTGAATGGACTTGCATATTTTTAATTTCTAATACCTCTAAGTATTTTTCTGCTGTTGATTTTCAGTCAATTTCCATTGTGTTCTCTTGTATAACCTGTTTAATCTCCTTTACCAATTTTCTGTTGAAAACTTTGTTAGGATTTTTTTTTTTTTTTTTAGAGCAGCATTAGGGTTTGAACTCAAGTGTGCTACCACTTAAGTCATGCCTCCCTTTTTCCATATATTGCTATAAACTTTATATATTGCTCTGCTCTTTATTTAATATAGGCATTGTACTTTTCCCTATTATTGTGTCATTTTCCTTTTAGGTGGACTAGGTTTCATTATAAAGTGATTTATATTTTTTTTTATTCTTCTGTTTCTCACCTTTTCCCTAGTAGTTGGAAATTTACCATCAGAATTTATTAGGGAATGATTATTCTTCTCAAGACTACATTTCACATGGAGGGTTTTGTTTCTGTTGCTGTGTGTGTTTAGCTCCTTACCTCATCTAGAATTGCTTTTAAATATGCAGTGGCACTAAGTTTATTCTTACTGTGTTGAATTCAACATGCCTTTTCTTTCCATTTTTTTCTTGGGCTAGTTTATTGCATGAGTTCTTCTTAAACATGACGTAAGAGGCGCTCAAGTTGCTTTTGTTGAAAAGCACTGACTCCTTCCTTGAGCCCACAAAACTAACTAAAAACAGGAAAAGCTTGGCCTCTTTGTCTCCATTTGGTATCTGTCTTTGCTCTAAGCCATTCTCTTTGCAGTCACTTTACAATCACCTTGGATTTCAAGGACAAAACTGATAATACCTTTATGACAATGAACTGGAGCCACTTGGAGCTGCCACCCTCCCAGTGAGGACAATTACCCCAAGAATTCAAGTTTCAAAACTGGACCAGACCACCTGCCTGACCGAGATTACCAGCCCCACCAGTCATGAGACCAACCAGACCACACCTGCAACTGGACTGTTTAACTATGCATACCTCTGCCCCCTGCCCCCAGTTCCTTTATCTATTTAAATCTATAGCTCACGTCTGTACCCCAAAGATGGCTGAAGATGAGCTGAGTGCCTACTTTGCCTCTTCCCATGGCATGCCTGAGCCGTGTAATAAACCTCCTTTCTCTGTCTTCATCATGCCTCTTTATTTTGTGTTTTGGGGCAGGTAGCCAGACCCGGCATATGGAATCTTGAGAGTATGGGGCTTGGATCCAAAACTCCGGTTTCAATAGCAGTGAGGCAGGGTAGATAGATAAGGACGTGGGGAAATTATATTTTAATAAAGATTAAAAGGCCCAGACTTAGTCATTGGGATGACAAAGTAAAAACTAAAAAGCCAGCTGGGAGCTGGTGGCTCCTGCCTGTAATCCTAGCTACTCAGGAGGCAAAGATCAGGAGGATCACAGTTCCAAGCCAGCCAGAGCAAATAGTTCACTAGACCCTATCTCAAAAACACCCGTCACAAGAAAGGGTTGGTGGAGTGGGTCAAGACGTAGGCCCTGAGTTCAAACCCCATTCCACAAAACAAAAACAAAAACCCTAAGCTAAAAAGCCAGAGCAGCTAGCCCCCCTTCCATCTCCTTTTAGATGCTAACTTACAAGACTATCTGCACCTGCCATCCTTTTTGAGCTATTAACAGCTGCAAGTTTCCTTGAATGGGTAGAGGGGAGAAAGAGTAAAAGGCATGAGAAGTCTGCCAAGAGAAGGTCTTAACATTCACTTATTGTCCCTGTGTTCTGGGTGGGAGTAGATGACATCCCCCTGTTTCAGCACCCACCTTAACCACCAGGATCAATTATTTAACGGTTAGAGGTTGCTAGACATGACCACATGCATTCCCCCAGCTCAGGACAGTCTAAGACCACAGATAGGAACCACCATTGAGAGTCTTTACTCCCATTTCCTGCGTGGAGAGCAGGAGATGTTTCTGCCCCCAGCCACCACCATCACCACTCCCCCCTACTTTCTTTTGTTATACTGAAATAAATCTTTGCTAAAACTTCCACCTGGTGAGACTCCTTGTTGTGAGACACCCAGAAACACTTTTCACATTTGTAGATCTCAAAGACCTGATTTTGCGTGGAAACTCAGAAACTGTGGGAGCCCTTCACCCTGCTCAGGATGTGCCAAGGCTGTCTTACATTCATTCATATAAACATCCAGAGCTCCCTGCGGTTTCAAGGATGGCATTTTAGTTTACTGGCTTTGAAATGGTCCTCCCAGGGTTGGGGTGCAGTTCCAGTACAGGAAAGATTAGCATAGGGGACTGACCTGAGCACAGAGCTATGACAACCAGGGCTGGGTCCTCTTGAAGCAGAATAAATAAATGAATTGGCAGGGAAATGGGTCCCGCATTTGGGGAGCCTCAGATTGGTAAAAGAATTTGCCAATTCTTTATTGGTAACAGATTTATTAGGATGCCATTAAGAGACAAATGGCAGACGACCACACAAAGGAGTGCAGCAAGCTGAGGCAGTTTACAGTAACCTTTATACTTCAGGTTAGGTCACTTTTGATTGGCTGTCTCCATTTTTGTGGACCTTACTGATTGGTTGTCTCTTCCTGGGCTCATGGTTTGAGTTTCACATGCATGGGAACGTCTGTGTTCCATCCAGGGCTTGATCCACCCCTTACATTCCATCTAGCTTTTGGTATTTTTTTTATTGCCACCTCCACACTATTGTTTCAATCCTTGGAAATTTATCAAAATGATTAGGGGTTGAAGGTGACTTGACCATGTGTCTAGGTAGGAATTTGAGGAGTCCCAGATAAGTACTGGAAGGCAAGAAATATCATTTTAAATCTTCCTTACTCCAATTTCCTGCCTATCGGTTGGGATAGCTAATATGAAGTGCAGGAGGTGTTTCTCCCTCCCTTTCTTTTATTCTATTTTACTAAAATAAATCCTTGCTAAACTTCTACCTGTGAGAGCCCTCAAAATGCTTTCTGTTGTGGATCTCATTTCTGTGAATTTCGTGGAATTGGGAAGCTGAGTGTCTTTGGGTGTCACTCTGGGGGCGTCTGGCTCCAGGGAGAGCCAGGAAGAGCGTTGGCCCCCTGCCTGCTCTTTCCGACTTCCCAGAGGGAGAGAAGGCTTCCTCCTTGTTCTCCAAGAATTCATCAGTTTCCGCAAGATCCCCATTCAATTTCCATCTGAAACAGGTACTTAAAAGCTGCTTTTGGCTCTAAGAAAACTAGGAATAGAAGGAAAGTTCCTCAACATTATAAAAGCTATATATGACAAACCTACAGCCAGCATTATACTTAACGGAGAAAAATTAAAACCGTTCCCTCTAAAATCAGGAACCAGACAAGGATGCCCACTATCTCCACTCCTATTCAACATAGTACTGGAATTCCTAGCCAGAGCAATTAGGCAAGAAGAAGGAATAAAAGGAATACAAATAGGTAAAGAAACTGTCAAAATATCCCTATTTGCAGACGACATGATCCTATACCTTAAAGACCCAAAAAACTCTACTCAGAAGCTTCTAGACATCATCAATAGCTATAGCAAAGTAGCAGGATATAAAATCAACATAGAAAAATCATTAGCATTTCTATACACTAACAATGAGCAAACGGAAAAAGAATGTATGAAAACAATTCCATTTACAATAGCCTCAAAAAAAATCAAATACCTAGGTGTAAACCTAACAAAGATGTGAAAGACCTCTACAAGGAAAACTATACACTTCTGAAGAAAGAGATTGAGGAAGACTATAGAAAGTGGAGAGATCTCCCATGCTCATGGATTGGTAGAATCAACATAGTAAAAATGTCGATACTCCCCAAAGTAATCTACATGTTTAATGCAATTCCCATCAAAATTCCAATGACATTCATTAAAGAGATTGAAAAATCTACTGTGAAATTTATATGGAAACACAAGAGGCCACGAATAGCCAAGGCAATACTCAGTCAAAAGAACAATG